AGATGTATCAGTGAGTGTCGTGTGGTAGTAGAAGTATGATGGTAGATGTATCAGTGAGTGTCGTGTGGTAGTAGAAGTATGATGGTAGATGTATCAGTGAGTGTCGTGCGGTAGTAGAAGTATGATGGTAGATGTATCAGTGAGTGTTGTATGGTAGTAGAAGTATGATGGTAGATGTATCAATGAGTGTCGTGTGGTAGTAAAAGTATGATGGTAGATGTATCAGTGAGTGTTGTATGGTAGTAGAAGTATGATGGTAGATGTATCAATGAGTGTCGTGTGGTAGTAGTAGAAGTATGATGGTTGATGTATCAGTGAGTGTTGTGTGGTAGTAGAAGTATGATGGTAGATGTATCAGTGAGTGTCGTGTGGTAGTAGTAGAAGTATGATGGTTGATGTATCAGTGAGTGTCGTGTGGTAGTGGTAGTTTCAGTTACACATGAAAACATAAAAATCAGTAAATCATACTTCTACTACAATACAACACTCATTGATACATCTACCATCATACTTCTACTACCACACGACACTCATTGATACATCTACCATCATACTTCTACTACCATACAACACTCATTGATACATCTACCATCATACTTCTACTACCACACAACATTCATTGATACATCAACCATCATACTTTATTAACAAACTGGACAAGGGCAAGCTTAAAAATGTTTTAGTTTGCTGTAACCCTAAACTGATTTAAAATGTGAGTAAGTAGGTAGGTAGGTAAATATTTTTTTTTTTTCAAATTGCTTGGCAAAAACATTTTGGAAATGCCACTAGTTTCGTGGTCACCTAAAACATAACATGTTAAACCATGAATACAATTACTATCAACATTTATTCTGTGAAGAGAATTACAGAAATTTCAAATTCATTCACAGCACACACTTGCTGTTCGATATCGATGAAGTTGAATTGACTGTTGCTGACAATTTTATGTTTTTTTTCTTCCATTTTGTCTCACTTGCCAAGTAAATTTACAAGTACTTCCCTCCTAGTGGATAAGTTTCCAATTGGAATTAATTTGTTTTTGATCCTAATCCTTAATCAGCAAGAACATTTTTTGGAGGTGGATACACTGAACAAACTTGTGTTTGCCATGTTGTTGATGTATGCTCGTCAATAGTAAATTCTCCCATGCAGCCCTGCTAGGTAGTGTATTTATTAGTTTAGCATGAAGGGTTCTAGGGATGAGATAAGCCATGTTGTCAAACCTCAATGCATTGGCCAATCAGCATTGAGGTGATGCCCTCCCACGTCATTGCGAACTATATGAATTTCTGGGAAAAAATATTTTAACTATAATACAACAATAAAAAAATTTTAAGTTGGCAAATTTTGTTAGATGTGTTGGTATGTCAGCAGAAATTGGTGAAGATAAGAATTTCCTAGGTCATGATGTCAAAAAGTCTCTCATTTGGCTCCAGTTTCAAACTATCGCTCGTGTTAGAAGAAAAAAGAAAAATTTTTAAGCCTGTCCCAAATGTGATGCTATAGCTAGAAGTATGTTTTCAAATAAAATAGCTTGAAGGCCTCTGGAAAAATCCTATAGAAAACTTTCTATTATTGTTTAAATAAGTATTGCAATGATTTATACAGACTGACCAATAACTTGTGATCGAAGCAAGTTGCATACACAGATAAGAATTAAAAGTTAACGTAGTAAATAATATAGCTAATGTAACTACTTACTGGTCTTGGATAAAGAGGAGTTACATTGTAATAAAACAAACTTTTAATAATTTGAAAGCATTGATTCATCAATCGGCTACCCTCCCTGTTAACAATATTTTGGGCCATAATCTCAGTATCTCGTGAGCTTTTGGCAAACTGAAGAGATTTAGGTTAACCAAAAATCCATATACTAAGCTAACATTGCAAAATCATTATCTTCATAAAAAATATAAATAAAAGTAATATATATATACTGAACAGTTTAGTTAACACTGTTAATGAAATTGATGATAAAGAATTATATATACCTTGTAGCATATGACACAAAACCTATTTGTTTCTTGCACTTTTAATGATTCTCTGTACTCTGCAAAGCTTAGACATAGTGATCCACTGATCTTTGTCCCTTTGATTCACATAGTTATCCACTGATCTCTATTGTCCCTTTGATTCACATAGTGATCCACTGATCTCTATTGTCCCTTTGATTCACATAGTGATCCACTGATCTCTATTGTCCCTTTGATTCACATAGTGATCCACTGATCTCTATTGTCCCTTTGATTCACATAGTTATCCATTTATCTTTATTATCCCTTTGATTCACATAGTTATCCACTGATCTCTATTGTCCCTTTGATTCACATAGTTATCCACTGATCTTTATTGTCCCTTTGATTCACATGGTTATCCACTGATCTCTATTGTCCCTTTGATTCACATAGTTATCCACTGATCTCTATTGTCCCTTTGATTCACATGGTTATCCACTGATCTCTATTGTCCCTTTGATTCACATAGTTATCCACTGATCTTTATTGTCCCTTTGATTCACATAGTTATCCACTGATCTTTATTGTCCCAGTGATTCACATAGTTATCCACTGATCTTTATTGTTGTTGTTTTTGTGTTTCCCCCCATCAGGAAGCCACTGGAGATTTGGGTCAAGATGATGATAAAATCTGGTATTCTGTGACTTGGTCCTTCACAGAGTTTATTAAGCACTTTAATCTTCTACATGATGGGTTACATAAGCTCCAGTTTCTTATACCTGAATGTGAGAATGAAGAGAATCGAACTGCTGTCACAAAGGTAGGTAATAAAAAAAGTCAATGACAGTGTACCTATGCCTATGTCAGTGTACCTATATAAAAATATAGACCTATAAGCCCATACTAAAGTATACAACCTATAGATATGGAGTAGATAGTTGTTGTGACAACAAAATAACACTGCCTGAGCATAAAAGGAAATGAAACATAAAATATATTTATTTATTTATTGCGTGTGTGCAACATTTTGCAAAGATGAGATTCAAGTTAGCTTCCCTTTAGGCTTGATATACACCAAGTGTGAAAGGAGTAAATAAATAATTCCGTCTGTTTAAATGACTAAAGCTTCTCTCTCTCTTTTTTTCTGTGTCATCCAAAGTGTACTCGGTTATTATTGTTCTTGTATAAAACACCCACATCACAGACAATTAGTTTTGCAATAGTAAAAGTGGATTAAATTTTAAAGAAATCATAGTTTTCAAACTCAATAGCTTTTAAACATTTTTTTAAATTTTAGTTTCTATTTCATTTTGACCATTTTATTTTTAGTTTTCATGGACTGAAAAAAAAAGGTTGAGGTACATTATTTTTAGATAATTTCCAATTTTGTTGAAATGATATAGTGTGATCTGGCACTTCTTTTTGGAGGGGGGGGGGGGAGATTTGAGCACTGATCATATCTGAGATCCCAGCCACACTGAGATATATGAATGGGAAAGGAAGCGTGATCATATCTGAGATCCCAGCAACACGGAGATATATGAGTGGGGAAAGGAATCGTTGTCATATCTGGGATCCCAACAACACGGAGATATATGAATGGGAAAGGAAGCGTGATCATATCTGAGATCCCAACAACACAGGAGATATATGAATGGGAAAGGAAGCGTGATCATATCTGGGATCCCAGCAACACGGAGATATATGAATCGGAAAGGAAGCGTGATCATATCTGGGATCCCAGCCACACGGAGATATATGAATGGGAAAGGAAGCGTGATCATATCTGAGATCCCAGCCACACGGAGATATATGAATGGTAAAGGAAGCAGATATTCCATTGCACATTCTCCCAAGACTGGATCTTAAGGTCTTAGTTTGATACAAAATGCTGCAAATGATGCTTTACTTAGAAATGAAGTCTTTAGCCTTTCATCACTTCACAGTTCTATGAGTTTACCCTCTGCTATTGCATTTAAATTTCTTTCTCAAATTGTATTAAGAGTTTTTCTGGTTAGTGTATTTCTGTTTCTGGGGTCTGAGTCAGTTAAAGTGTAGAATTCAAGCCATACTATCCAAAGACATCAAAGCTTACTAGTGATGTCCTTCAAACTCTTCATGTCAAGTTGTTCGTAAACAGTGTTGACAGTTGCCAAGAGGTACTGGAACATGTCGAAACACTCTCTCGGTACTCAATTTCTTCTCGCCATTTACCATCTTTTTAAATCTGTCATCCAAAAAACTGTAGCTATCCTACCTTGCAGTGACATATTTACCGTCAAGAACATGTCAAACAAATAGGCTAACTTGGCAATCCATTCTGCCTCTTGGAAAAGTTTTGCCTAATCATGCTTTTACTCTGTCAGATATTAAGCTAGCTTATTGTAGAGCTTAAAATTTCAGATTTTTTTGCCTTTCTTCTTGTTTTTCTGCAGGCTGACACATGTCCACAGACCAATGGTTGGAAAAAGCTACTCTACTGTGGTTTTTAAAACCAAATAAAGCTCTAAAAAGTTATTGAACATTTTATCATCAGGAAACAAATTTGTAATAATTTCCTTATGATGAAGTAACTTCATCATAAATCTGTTATGATGAATCAGATTAATAATCAGTTATCCATGAGTTAAACATAATGTAGTTTAACGACGTTGAAGTCGTTATCATCTGTCTCCAATAAGAAGTTTCATGGTTTTTATGTTCACGACACTTTTTGTTTTTCAGTCAGTACAGGAAGAACTTCAGAAGAAAGGTCTGAAGCTAAAGCTGTTCAACGACCAAGCCCAACAGCTTGGCAGCCGTTATCCAAACATGAAGGATGAAATCCATCGTAGGGTGAATCTATTACATAATAAGTGGGAAGCTGTTGAGCAGACAGTAAACCCTCACAAACCCCAACAATCTCAGGATGGGATATTTCAAGGTAGGAAAACTAGGTGGAAAAAAAGTGTGGGTAGAAGATAATAAGATAAGACGTTTATAGTTTATATTATTGCAACGTCGACAATTTTTTATCATCCCTTTCTTGGTAATGATCACAGTGAGAACTCTCCAACAAGAGAAGTGAAAGCTTGTCAATCAACATTAGTTTTTGATATTTTTGAGACTAAAAGAATAATGAAAGTTTATGTTTGATTAGTGAAATGTAGGTAATTTTAATCATGATTGTAGAAAGACTTAATATAATCTACTGGTACTTAAAATAAGAAACTTGATTTATACGCAGAGGTGGCTCACCAAATGAAATGCTTGCGCCATTGGTTGAGGGAAGTGGAGAATAAACTCAGGTCTCCAGCTGTCTGTCTTAAATGGACATTATCAGACATTGAAAATAAATACAAGGAGCAGCAGGTTAGTGTGATGGCTTGTTTTTATTCTTGGTATGTTAGTCAAGTTTAACTTTCATAATAGTTGAGATTGTTTCCTTGAATATGAAAATTTTGTTATAAGTTCTGTAGCATGATAAATATGTATTTATGTGTGTGTGTGTGTATGGAGCACATTATCCAATTCTTGCACTTGTTGCAAAATCTAAAGCTTTATTTCTTGCAAAATTCAACAGTAAATAGTATGTATATATCGTAAACACAATGTTTTTATTTGTAATCGCTTCTCACCTTACCCTCAGTGTCCCTGACCATTCATGTTCACAGACGTAAATAATAATAAGTTTGTTTTTCTTCAAATCTTAGCCCTTGTGGGCTGTTATATAAGCTTGTTTGATCTTTCTTCTTGGACTTTACCAGTTGATACCTGTAGGTAACTGATATCCGCAGAATAAATTGAAATGATAAAATGAATAGCCTTAAAATAACGAATAGTAAGTCATCTTAACAAGAACAATTGTAGAAGGAAAACAATACTGTAATACTTAATAGCATTATATAATGTCACATAGGTAACTTGCCAGCTCTCTCATGTGAAATATTTATCGTTGTAACAATATACAATTATTTACTTCGATTGTAATTGTAGTTTTTATTTGGGGATTTTTGTATTTTATAGATGGTGCATTATTTATTTTTATTCTAGAGTGGTTGTTTAGTTATTTTCTCAATAGATGGCGTAACTAAAAACTAGATTTGTTCAGAGCAGATGAAAAATTATATGTAACATTACATAATTAAATTTCGGTAAGATTAAAACACCACAAAATGTATAGAAATATTTAGCTTTTGATTCCCATTGTTTAAATCAATTTGAATTAATGGGAATCAAAACATTAACAAACTACTGGAATGTCAAAACATATTACATGAAAATTAATATCCCTTTTTTGAAAGTCTAATTGGACTACTAACAATGAAGTAAAGCCCCAAAATATGATTCAATACTCCTAAGTTAAAGAATATTCTAAATAGTTAAAACATATTCTCACAAAAATGGATATCTGCACTACTTTAAACAAAAATTAATTGTCCCCCCCTAAGGTTTATCATACTTTAAAATAAAGTCCTTCACCTGACTGGGAGATTTTTTTAAGACATTTTTGAGGATTAAAATAAGTTTAAAACAGAAGTAAGTGTTATTAGTCCACTACGACATTAGTCAGGTGTTCAAGGTTCACACGTGTCTTTCCAAAACAGGGGTCCAACATTAACATGTCAGATTTTGCTTAAAAAAACAACAACGTAGGTCCACATATGACATTGTCGATTAGATCAAAAGAAAAGCACAGTTTACAAAATCAGACAACACTTGTAACGAAATTAAAAATGTTGTAATATTACCGTATATAAAAGGTATAACTGGTCAAATAGCCAATGTGTTCAGCAAACATAACTTCATCCTCATTTTTAGATCAATTAATAAAATAAAAATAATACTTTCTAATTTCTTGAAATAAAATGGCAAAATGTTGAATTAGATGTGAATCTCATAATAAATCATAGGTCAAACTAAACGTAAATATAAATATCGTCTTGATGAACATAAACATTATGTATGTAGTAAAAAATGATGTCAAATTCTTCATTTGTTGAATAAGCTATCAAAACAGGACACTTGATAAGTTGGCACAAAATTTAATTTGTGTATCAACCTAATAAACGGCCCGGCATGGCCAGGTGGTTAAGGCACACGACTCGCAATCTGAGGGTCGCGGGTTCGAATCCCTGTCACACCAAACATGCTCGCCCTTTCAGCCGTGGGAGCGTTATAATGTGACGGTCAATCCCACTATTCGTTGGTAAAGAGTAGCCCAAGAGTTAGCGGTGGGTGGTGATGACTAGCTGCCTTCCCTCTAGTCTTACACTGCTATATTAGGGACGACTAGCGCAGATAGCCCTCGCGAAATTCAAACAAACAATATAAATGTGTACTAAACGGACAGTTTCTTCAGTCGGCTAAAGTTTACACTTTATTGGTTATTAAGAACGGAATCTGGTAGGACTCATCGACTGTCTTAATAAAGCTCAGAGGTTGACAAGCAGTGAAACGTTAAGATAAACATTAGGCGTTTTATTATCAATTAAAATATTAAAGTAAACATCGAGCGTTTTTGTATCAAGTAAAACCTAAAGTAGTGAATTTTCAGATAAAAACATTAAACATATTCGAAATGATAAATTATCAGATAAGACTTTGAACCAAACGTTCAGTGAAAAGAACATAGATTTGCAACTTAAGCTCATTTTCGGGTAGTGAGTGCTTTAAAACCTACGATCGCCGTGAAGCTAAAAACGTAGTTTACTAACTGGGAATGTAATATTGGCCGAGTTTACTTTTGTTTTGTTGCTCCCAGAACAGTATTTGGGGAAGAATCATCTTACAGGGTGAATGGATCACGTTTTGCACACATTAAACCTTAGTGGGAAGTTTGGAATTCCGTTTCAGTTCTTCTGTTAGTTTATTATTTATGTATTAATTTCATAGAGAGGGTTAAGCACTTGCGACGAACACTTTGCTTATACCCTGCAGTGGCATGTCGCCTCACATACGAGCGGTGGAGCTAAGAACGACTTTGTAGCACCTATATATTTGGATCTTGTCGAACTTCCAATCATTCAGAAGTGCAATGCCACAACGAGTAGACTTATGGCTGAAGATTTATGTCACAGCTCTTTCTAAGTACTATATCAGTATGTCCAAAAGAAACAACATGTTGAAGAAGACAATGGAAAACTCGGACAGGAAATGTGTTTTGACCAGCTAAAGGATCCGGAACTACACTACAAACTAGTATAGAGAAACGCCCTCATCTGAAAGGTGAATACCATGGTTATAACAGAGAACGCCCTCATCTGCAAGGTGAATATTATGGTTATAACAGAGAACGCCCTCATATTAAAGGTGAATATTATGGTTATGACAGAGAACGCCCTCATGTGCAAGGTGAATACTATGGTTATAACAGAGAACGCCCTCATCTGCAACATCTGCAAGGTGAATATTATGGTTATAACAGAGAACGCCCTCCGCCCTCATCTGAAAGGTGAATACCATGGTTATAACAGAGAACGCCCTCATATTAAAAGTGAATATCATAGTTATAACAGAGAACGCCCTCATATTAATAGTGAATATTATGGTTATAACAGAGAACGCCCTCATATTAATAGTGACTATTATGGTTATAACAGAAAACGCCTTCATATTAAAGGTGAATACTATGGTTATAACAGAGAACGCCCTCCGCCCATGACTGCAAGGTGAATACTATGGTTATAACAGAGAACGCCCTCATATTAATAGTGAATATTATGGTTATAACAGAGAACGCCTTCATATTAAAGGTGAATACTATGGTTATAACGGAGAACGCCCTCCGCCCATGACTGCAAGGTGAATATTATACTTATAACAGATAATCTTCCAATTGAAAAGCCTACTGCAATAAAGCTAAACGCGTCTACTGGTACCACTAACAAGATAATAAACAAAGACTTGAAACTAACCAAAGTTCGCAAGCTTTCCGCTATACTCCAAAATCTACGGGAGAAAACTGACTGAAGAAAGTGGGATCACGGTAATTCCATTTGATAACATACCCGAGTAAGTCCCTTATGTTGTCGTTTTTTTTTTTTAAAGAATGGTTTAAGATTGACCTTGCTATTCTGTCCAAAAACGTATCACTATTAACATTCTAAACTTCTGTAAGATTATTGTTTCTAGAATGTTTAGCCATTTTATTATAGACAGCTAGAGAATATAACATTTGGACATCTACTTGGAAAGTGAAAATAAAATGGGTAAAAAAAAAATGTCGGACTTTATTGTTTCAAACCTTTCGTCAATAAGAAAAAAAAACATGTTTTTAATTACTGAAAGAGATTTTAGGGGTAGTTTAGACGTAACAGCGATGTTCGTGTTTTGTCTCATTTCAACGTACGAAATTTGTCTGTCCGTTTCGTCTAAACCGAGACCACACTAAAAGTTTCATTTTGTTGTACAATAAAATAACTTTGGGGACGCTGATATAACGTGTCAAGTATTTATTGCTGTGAAGGTTCATTGACGGAAACATTATCCGCAGAGAAAATTGAAGTTTCCGTGAAATGAGGGTTATAAACTACACTACTTTTTGAACGTCAAGAGAATGTGGAAGAATCTATAGTTAGTTGATTGGGACATTCTTTGTCTTGGATTGAATAAACCTTTACTTCTAGGGGATAAATTACGTTAACCGATCTATAGGATATAGAAATAGTCCTAACCACACATAGTTTATTACTAATAACTGAACTGATATATGAATAGTTTTAATCTCACATAAGTTTATTATTAATAACTCAACTGATATATGAATAGTCTTAACCACACATCAGTTTATTATTAATAACTGAACTGATATATGAATAGTTTTAATCTCACATAAGTTTATTATTAATAACTCAACTGATATA